CATCCATATTAAAAAATTTCTCCTTAATTCAGCTATAAAAAAAATTCTAAAGTATGCAAGACATTCTATATTCTAAAAAAACAATAACATTTGGGTTAAGTAACATTTCAACTATTGAGAAATATAAAGAATGAATGAAGAAACACAAATCATGAATAAACTTCCAACAAGAGCAATACATAAATGAGTTGGACTAATAAATTAAAATATGATCTAAGGGTTCAAACTCAGACAACGAAAATAAATTGATTGAAATTGTTTATATAAAAAAAATATTAATTGTTTTATCCATCGTCACTTAATTACTATGTAACCCCATTTTTTTTATTTAAAACAATTTTGGAATACATAACCTCTACATTGTTTTTAAAAAACATTGCGAACAATTACAAAATATAACTAACAAAATTTGTGCTTGTCTTTGCATATATTGATAGGTTTTAAAAAGTATAAAAATATTACCATGGAAGTCAAAATTATCTAACAAATATTAGAAAATAAAAAGAAACAGAAAAACAAATGTTCTCATAAGTTAAAATTAGTGTATAGATATATTTTATTTAAAATAGAGAAATTATATGAAAAAAATAGAATTTAGAATTTAAATTTATAAGATTTATTTTCTCTTAAAATGACACATGGATAAATTTGTTTAAACATGTTCAAAATATTACAAGAACGTTATGTATAGGAGGATGATATAAAATGTTAGAGAGGTTGACAAAGGTGCATAAAGGCGAAAGATATGAATAAATACTAATAAAAACTATTCTAATAATATTTTCAAATAGAGTTATCATAATAGTTTTTTATTTAAAAAAATATTATATTAATATAAATGTTATATTGATATAATATTTTTATCCACAAATAACCTCTTAGTTGTTCTTTTAAATGGTTTAATACAGTGATAAAACACTTAATGTAAAGATAAGTTTGAGAATATATTCTTATTTATAAAAGATTAATTAACAATCACATCTTTTATTTTATTTTTAAATAAAGTTAATTGAAAGATTATAATTTCCATCACTATATTATTTGATATTGCCATTACACCCTTAATTTAAAGTTGCTAACTAATAAAATTAAGATGTCAGTAAAATAAACCTTAAAATAAGAGAACACTTGACATTAGTTACTGTTTGTCCATTTATTCGATAAATAAATTATTAGTGTAACTTGGTAACATGTTTGAATGACTAGAACAAACACTTGCTATTTTTTTATAAGTTTCATTAAGGTGTTTTGCAGCATTAAAAAAAAAAGAACATTCATGTTAGCTTATCACAATTAGTTAAAAAAATGAATAATTTTTTTTAAACATAGATAAATCATTTCAATTTATCAAAAGTTGATAAGTGAATCGACTTATAAATTAACCCAGTTACTAATAAGTGTGACTTTTAATTAGATGGTATAATAGATAGAAGTCAACATAAACATGGACAAATACACAATGATAATTATTTATTTTTTACTTTGTCTGCAACGTTTTTTTAAAAGTAAATTCTCACTCTATATATACAGAAAATTCTTCCAATGATAATTTGTTATATAATTAGAGTCATTCATTTTATAATAACTATTGTAATTAATGATACCTATAATAATTCTTTAATTAAAACCATAAAATTCTTTAAACAGAAGCACGATAAAAAAAAAAAGCAGAGATTTTGGTTCATAAAATCTGTTCCATTGATTCCTTAATTAATTTGTCATTCTTTTTTCTTGCCAAATTTGAATTAATTTAACGTTTTGTTGTAGTAACGCAAAAGGACATAATGGTCATAGACAATATCATTTTCATTGGTAGATAAAAGAGAAGAAAGTACAGCTTCTTCTTCCAATCAAACAACTAAAAGAAAAGAGTTAATAAAAAGAAGACGAAGAGGCATTGTTGAATAATTATTGAATTTCAATTTCATTTGTGGTTTAAGCATAACACATAATGATATATTTTTTTACTTCAATCAAACTTTTAGCAAACTTTTAATCATTTGTCATGGATAATATTAAAATAGGTCAATCCTCAACGCAGGTAACAAAATGTTTGATTTTTTTTTTTTTTTTCAACACAATTATTAATAGTCCTCCCTATATGACATCACCTGAAAATAAGGAATGTGTGTGGAATGGAAAAAAAAGGAGGTTGAGTTATTAGAAAAGTGACTATGATAATCGAATCATGGGTATGGTTAAAATTAGGGTTAGGGTTAGGGCTAATTGTGTTGCAATGACATAAAAGCAAGGCACTTTAAAAAGCATGTTAGGAAGGTGGGGACAGAGACAACCTAGCAAGTTCCAATATCATAATTTGATGTGGGCCCATGGAGAACAAGAGGTTACAGCTGGCAATGTGTTATCTTGTGTTGGGTGGAATGGAAAGTGAAGTGTGAACCACACGATGCCCTAAACACTGTTCATTAGACACATTCCAAACCAAAATCTACAGCACTATACACAAAAACTGGGGCACTATGTCGGGGCCAACATATTTCACATCTTCGATCTCATCAATCACTCAACCCTAACCCTAGTAACTTATACCACCATTTTCATTTACTCTCGTGGCCTAACATTGTACATAAGTATAAAGTTTTTTACCTTCAATTTGTGGGTACCAACTTGGCATCAATGTCATGGGTACAATGCTTTTCTTTCCAATAACTGCAACCCTGGTACTGCTAGGTACTATTCAATTAATAGTTAAGGCACAAAAACTGGGTCATCTTGTATTCCAATTTTTATTGTAAAGGAAAGAGAAGGAAATTGATTAATTGTCATTGTATAATGGACCAGGGTTTGGATTTCAGATACATAGATAATTGGTTGGATGCGGGCTACCAATCAAAACAAAAGTGTCGGTGCCATCTTCTTCTTCTTTTTCTCTCTCTCTCTCCCCCCTTTGTTTTATAAAATATCTTTTGCTTTGTTGGTTTGTTTTTTTGAGTTGCTTAGAATAAAAATACAAAGGTTCTACACCACAACAAGTAAAGGCTTCATTATTATAATTGGACAACTCCATGTACAAGTCCACCTGGTTCATTCAAATGTAAAATTGGACACACCACCTACTTTTAGAGTACATCAATACTCAATTCAATATACATATAAGATCGATTGGTGTAACATGTTTTATCTCTGTTGACCAGGACGAATATAACATGCATCCTTTCTGCATTTTTTACACACGTCACCAATTTCTAAAGTTTATCAGGAACTTGTCATTTTTCACCACTCAATTTTTTCTAGTATTTAATTTTTTATTAAAAAATGTATGCACAACTACTACTTGGACAAACAGAATATAATTGTTAGTTGTTATTTATTTCAATTTGTATTCAAAGAGAGTAGTATATTACATTTGATACTAAAGCATAGAATACCCATCAAAGATATCTTTGCGAGATACGGAAATTATACGCATTACATAGTTCTGAGACCAGCTCCATCAAAAACTGTACGGTGGCTCAAGGGCATCGGAATAAAACCAGCATAATTAGTTAAAGTTGCCCGTATGTACCAAGTCCACAAGTTGAGACTACCTCGTTTTTCGTAACTAATTGCGTTCGTGAGAAAGATAAGCTTTACCTAGACAAATTGATTTCTAAACCATGTTGGTTTGACATGTTAATTCTGAGATATTTTTATATTCAACATAAAATTTGGTAAATATTTATTTACAAGATGCAATCATGACTACGATAATGACAATAACTGCCACTATTATAATTATTGTTATAATTGCGAGCCACATGTACAAACCAATCCTTCTTGGCGGTAAAGTGTGACAGCCAGACTAAAAAATTATTCAAAACATTATATCTTGTTTGACTGGACAAAATTAGGATCACGTTCAAGAGCAACTATTTCAGTTCTTCTAGCTGTTAGTGTTTTTCAGGTCCAAAGTTCTAGCTTCAAAAATTTTCGCATTAGAGACGTTATTTTAGTTTATTTTTTCTTTATGTAAAACATATATGCAAATTAGGGCATGAGTTGCTGAATTACTTTGCTTCCAAACACGAACACAAAGCACACATGGTGACTCATACCAAACGTGTCGGTTGATTTATTCATATATTATAACCAAGACAGAAGAGAAAATATTGAACATATTTTGGTGCTTAGATGTATGTGACTATGATAATAAAGTGGGTAACATTTTATATTGTCAAAAACATTAATACAACACAGTTTATGGACTTGACGAACAGAAATGACAAACGGAAAAGACAGCTACGGTTCAACATGTTCTGTCTCATTCGTCTATAATGAAGCGAACATTGATTTAACATTTAACTAATAAAGCCTTTACAATTAACTAAAATTAAAATGTTATTAATCGTTATAAAAATAAATCAAGTGTAAATGAAATAAGCTGTACAAAAGCGTCTACATCAATAATTTGAACGAATGTCTTTTTCCCTAGTTCTAAAGAAAAGCCCACAAATTAGCGTAACTTGGTGCAACTCTCACCTATCAGTTTTCCCAGTATGAGCGGTGTAAGATCACTGAAAAAATAGCAGCCACGGATTGGATTGATTGAAAACTTAGATTTGTAGTTATGTAACAGCATCTCAGCCACTTGTTAACCAACTATCCCAGTAAAAGCCCAAGATCAACAACCCCAGCAATAACGGATAGAATACAAACTCATTTTCACAACATAACGGATATAATAAAAACGTTTTACTTTTATGGACACGAGTGAATTACACTATCCCCTGTCCCTTTTTGAAGACAAAAATGTCAAAAACTTTGCGATTTGACCGTGTAGCAGAGAAGCTGCAACCAACAGACTCAACTTGCGTTTACCATCTTCCACATCAAAAGCACATATATAAGTCAAATCTGCTGAAAAATGTATGTATGAATAAAGTAACATCGTCTCTGCTGGACCCTATAGTAATTGTACATGCAATCATCATTATATGCTAATTGGTATTGCTATGGGCCGCATGGACACCCCAGGTAAGCTTCGTGATAGCCTTTTGTTATTATGTTTTCCATACTCGAATGGTGCCATCCACGGAAGATGTTACCATGCAGTTTTCCTTTGGGTGATAACTAACACTCGTTACCTGACAGAAAATACATATGCATTATATATATCATATTCTCACATCCTTCAATAAGTAGTTAAATGAAAAAAAAAAAAAATATATGCACAAGCCCTTGCACCAGTACGAGTAAAGCGACAATTGCATGATAAAACCCAAAATGCTATCTGTCCCAGCTGTAACAAGCAGAGATTATTTGGAACAAAATGAATCTCACCCCACAGCATAAGGTAATGATGGCATTGGTCATCAGACTTGAATAACGATAATATAAAATATAGCATAAGGAGCATTAGTTAAAGCAATAACAAAGTTCCTTTAAATATAATCAGGCAGCAGACCAAAGTATTATTAAGAATAACTGCTAGAGAAGTTCTAAGAGAGAAACTCTGTTTAGAACAAAATTCCTATTTGAACTATTATCACGTGTTTGTGACAACAATTTTCATACCGGGCTTTGTCAAAAAAAAAAAAAAAAAAAAAAAAAAAAGAAATCAATTAAATCATGATGAACTTGCGTGATAAATCATATATGGTTAAAATGAAAACTCAATTATTAAACAACATTTTCTTCAGAGTGTCTCAAGCAAACAGGTTTCCATCATTGAGGCTTAAGGAGGAATTGGCAATATGAAACACCCATAATCATGATTAATATCAGATTAGTAACGAAGTAAAGGTCTAAAATGTCCTATTAGTATCATCCTTTCACAGCTTTCTTCTAGAAATAGTAAACTAGTGAAAAGAAATTACCACTGAGTTATGAGCCCTGAACTTAGAAACGACAGATGCATCTACAAGATCCCAGAAATAAATGAAGCCATCCTCGGAGCCACCAGTTACATGAGCATCCGTATTGGTAAGGCAGCAATCCAATTTGAAAGACTGAGGGTAGTCCAATAGAAATTATGTAAAATTCGAAGAAATGTACAGTAAAACTTTGTGTAACATGTAAGGTTACTACTTACAAGTTAAAAAACATAAGAAATACACTTTAAGAGTGACGAATTGTCATAACCAATAAATAACAGTAAATAAATGCAGATGTATGCACCTGGTATCTTCCTGTATCGTTAAGATATGCCATATGCAGAACATTAGAAAATAGGAAGTGCTAAAATCAGATTTAGTCATCTGCAGACTGACCTTATTAGTGTGTCCTTTATATTCTTGTAACAGTTCACCTGTGGACCTGTCACAGAAAAAGGACTATGAAGCACGCAAGGATATAGATCAACAATAACTTTTCCCAAAATGTCACAAACATACCTGTCCAAAAGACGCAGAGTAGAGTCTAAACAACCGGCTAGAATGCAGTTACCATCATTTGACATTGATACACAGTTGACAGGTTGCCCCAAGTTATCGGAAATTTCGCTGGTGGATAGAAAAGAAAACATCAGTAGAATTTCATAATGCAACTAAATTTTACGGCAACAACAAAATTGTCCAACGGCAGCGTGCTGCGTATCACATATATTTTGTTTAAAAAAAGAACAAATAATGATCTGGAAGCTATGCTGCAAGAAACCTGCCAATACGAATGTCAAATGTTCGAACAGTTCCATCAACACTTCCTCCAATAATTTCAGTTTTTGTTAAACAAATAGACATCACACTATCTGCAAATGTGTCAATAATCTGCATATCAATGACAACTCTATTAATAAGCCAGTAGAAAGAGACAGAGTACAGAGCATATAGTATGTAAGATAGAAAAAGTAAGCTGATGGAATCCACCTGAATCGGCTCAGTGCTGTGGGATCTGCAGTCCCAAGCACGTAAGGATTGATCATAGCCTGCTGAGACTACAACAGATGAATACTCATTGAATTTGACGCCATTTACCTGCAGAAGAAATTATGAATCAGAAAATATAAATCTATAGCTAACATTCAAGGTTGAGTCAAGATATCTTGCGATAAAAACCATCAATAACTCCAAACCATTTTAACTCTCGATGATCTTAATTTTTATTTTCATTTTAAATTTTATCATTGTATGAAAATTAAAAAATGGATGGAGTTTTATGAGAAAATAAGGACAATTGCTGTGGTTATTTTGTTGAAGGTGTTAGCATAGGGCTGGAACTGGTGCATACATTTAGACCATGTGTGGATAAACTTTTGCATGGACACTTATAGAAGAAGAAAAAAACTAATATAAGTGTTAAAAATAAAATTTTAGAGGAACTAATATAAACTAATTTTAACTTAAGAAAAAAACTTATTTTACTCTTCCAATAAATACATACGAAGAAATGTATCCATTCAGAACCTGGTGTTATGTGTTAAGAGTAAAAGGCAAAGACGGCATTCACGCAAGCAAGAGCAAAGCATAACTACAACAAGTAAAGATAAATTGGTTTATTACTATCACTGTCACTCCCTTCCATTCAAAGAGAAAACAACTAAAATTTAGAAAAAAAAAAAGGAAAAATAAATGTCATTACACAATGAACGGAATTATAACTCACCTCACCATCATGGCCACGAAATTTCCTAATTACACGTCCAGTTGCAACATCCCAATAAAATATCTGTCGATCTCCACCGCAGGAACATAACTTAGAATTGTCCCTACAGTAACAACATGCAAATAACGTACTATGAAGTAGAGTTGAATGCAGCTACGTTTCATGACAGTTCAAAGTTCAAATGACGAAACCCTACAAATTGAAGCGTGTTTGCATTGTGAATATGCATAAAATTCCATGATTCAGTAAGAAATCACAGGACATTATGAATATACAGTTGTGTTAATTGAAGAAATCGAATTGAGAGAGAGAGAGAGAGAGAGAGAGAGAGTACGATGTGACGTGGACATCGCGGACTTCACGGCCGTGGGATTTATAGGTCTTGATATGTATACCACGGTGGGGATTCCAGAGGCGTATGGTACGGTCTTTGCCGCAACTCAGACAATAATTGCCGTCGCCGTTGAACCTCGCGGCCAACACGGCACCCTCGTGACCCTTCAGCACGTTAACCTCTTTCCGCGGAAGATGTTCCACGCTCATCTCTTCTTCTTTCTCCACAACCACCCTGCGTTACTTTAGTCTCACTGTACTCTGAACCTCAGCCCAATCCGTAAGCCCATTTTGCGTTAAAGAAGGGTAGGCCTGGGCCAACTTTTAAACGGATTGGGCCCAATATCCAAAGATAAGTCCAGTCCGTTTTCAGTAGAAAAGGTTATAATAATTTATTTAATAGATTCTAATCATAAGTGAAAGTGAATTCGTAAGGTTGCTTAAAATGTAGTTTCCATATTCCACTGGTTCACTATCCAATGAAGTTACGATTCTGCAAAGATCCTTTTGTTTTCATTAATCAACCATTCCATTTTGTTAATTAAAAAGAGTTAAATTACACAAAACGGATGCAATAAATAATAGCAAGAAGTCCTATAAATAATAAATAGTTGAAGAAGGGAAGTGACAGAAGAACCCTAAACTTGATATTGGATGGCTCTATTGAAACATGGATTACTCTTGTTGATGGTGGTTGTGTGGTTTGACGGACATGGAGCAGCAACAAGGGACATGGTGGAGTGCTGGAGCAACCTGATTCAGCTAAAATCATGTTCCAATGAGATAATGCATTTCTTGATCAACGGTGGAGCAGATATTGGATCCTACTGTTGCTGTGCCATCACTGTCATAACCCACAATTGCTGGCCCTCAATGCTCACTTCATTGGGTTACACTTACCAGGAAACTCTTTATATGCGTTCCTACTGTCAGGATGCTGCTCCAACTCCATCTTTCTCACCTTCTCATCCACTCTATTGAATTACTACATCAATGTTCAGTGTCACATTGGAGAAGAAACCCCTTTTGCTTTCATAATTGTCTTCTCTTGTGATAACTCAATCATGGCTTTGGTCTTGTTTATCTATGGAATAAATTCAGCTTCCTCCAATTTCACTCTATAATATTATGTCTGCATACACAATGTGTTCTTCTATGATTTTTAATATGTTTATCATATTTTTTTTGTTTTATGACTTGTTTCTTTTTCAACTGAACATAAGGATATTGAGTCGTCCCAGTCTACGGGAGTGGAGTGTGTGACCTTGAAAGCCACAAAAGCTTTTCAATTCATGATTTTCACACTCGAATTATTCTTATTGGTCATTGTTTTGTTGTGTCTTTCCACTAACTTCTACACACTCCGATGATGAAGTTCCTTTAGTTCTTAGTCCTTACTTTTGAATTGGATAGGAAATTTGAAGGAGAAGAGAAACAAAAAATTTGTTTGGATGGAGATAGAGTGTGAAAAATAATGAAAATAAAGAGTAAAAATATTATAAAAGATAAAATTTATTTGATTAATTAATAAATATAATTTTTTTTAATTATAACATTGTGTCTTTTATCTTTCTTTATATTTTGTTCAAGTGAAGAAGATCACACAGAGAATTAGTATCTTCTTTCAAGCAACTAACATACTCAAGTCTTCAAATCCATTTCTTATCATAACCATTCATTGGTTAGTAAGTAGTTTGAAATGCAATCACTGAATTTTACAGAAATAAAAGCTTGGTTTGATTTAAAATAGTCTCTACTTATCACTAATTTCATATCAATAACATAATTTTTACAAAATAATTTATATATAAAGCTAATTTTAACTTGTTAAATATTATTTATTATAAAAAATTTATAATATAGAAGTATAACCCGTAGTATTGGATTGAAGTGTGCGATGAGATCAACTAAAGTTTTGATCCAATTCGTTATCTAATATAATTTTAAAAATTGAAATAAGTCAGTTAGGTTATAAATTTTCAAAAAGCATATACTTTTATTAAAATTTGTATTTTCATTTTTTTAAGAAATAGATCATATTAATGAATAATATTTAAAAATATACATTTAATTAATAAAATAAATAATAATAAAAATAATAATTATTAATAATATAAACATTTTTTTTAATAATTTTGATTAAACTTAATTTAGGATCGAATATTCAAAACTTACTCCCAAGATTTGATATGATTGAATTAGATTTTATCTACATAAAATGATGGTTAAATTATCAAACACAATAAACATCCCTAATTTATACTCAATCTAAGATGAGCCAATTTTGGAGTTTAGGATGGTAAAAATGTAAAATTTCCATTGACCAATTTTGATTTTGATTTTATTTTTCACAAAAGTGAAACGCTTAGCCTACGACTTGATGAAGATGAAGGAGCATAAGATAAACTCAAAACCCAAACAAAGTATTATTATTTGAAGAGAGAATGTTCTGGTCTTAGGCCAATCTTAACTATTCTTAAGATACCGAGACAACTCTTAAGGTGCCACATATGCAGAGAGAGCATTTTGCCTTCTACAAACTTGAAATAGAGTTGGCCACATCAATCACAAAGCGATATTTCACATCACCTTTGCTAAGCCTCTCCATGGCAGTGTTGATTTGGTCTATCTTAATCAGCTCAATATCTGCAGTTATGTTGTGCTTTCCGCAGAAATCAAGCATTTCCTGGGTTTCCTTGATCCCTCCAAAGTTGCTCCCCCCTACAAGCTTCCTTCCTGCATGCATATGTCACATAACAAAACTTAACATTTCTTTCATTCGTCAGATCCATGTACTATTATTTATTTACTCTCAAAGTGGCCCTCCTCAAATTTTCGAAAATCTTGAATATACAATGAATTCAAAAAGTGTGTTTCATTTAGCTTCTTAGGAAAGTATTACACTCCACTTGTCTTTAACTTAGGGGTATTGTGAGGTATAGATCAGGTTCTTTTCTCCTTGAGCAATTACTTGCTAATAACATACAGAAATTGCATACTACAATATTGGAGATGATTGATGGCGCGTACCTGCAACTAATGTAAAGATAGGCACCTCAAGAGGCTTGTTGGGCAACCCTACAGTAATTAGCTTCCCATTCAGCTTCAGCAGACTAAGCAGTGATGTCAAGGAGTGAACAGCAGAAATTGTGTCTATGATATAGTCCATGGTTCCCATAGCAGCCTGCATAGAGTAAGCGCAAGTTTAACAGGAGCAATTGCATGACCAGTCAATCAATTGTTTTACTATTGATTATCATGGAGAAGCAGACTAAAAGGTTCGGTTTTTATATTCTAAAGTGCTCTAATAGAGGAAGTGGGGTTTTCTCGTGTACAAACACACTTCATTGGCTAATATTGGACTAACACCTGCAAAGTCACTCAGGACATTTGTTCTGCACAACCATACTATATTTCCTATCAACAATGGTAGTGTCCAATCACTCAATTCCACACTCTTTTCACCTCTCTGTTAGGTATATTTAGATCTGGCAGGTAACTACTATTTGATGATAGCTGTTGAAATATGGGTATCATAATAACCTAACTTCTAAACATAAATAATAAAACCATCGTTGCAAATTATAAAATTATATCAAGACATCTAGCAAAGCAGAAACTAGTCGCTACCAGAGACACCCAACAATAGCATAAGAATATCATTATTATAGCTAAATTTATATGAAACTGCATTATGAAGAACAAGTAAAATCATCATAACCAGAACCCAGATGAAGAGTCTTCCTCTGAATGCTTTTTGAGTCTTGAATCTCAGTTACCTTCATTTTTGCAGGGTCTGAGGAAACAAGGAAAGAATCAGCCCCAAGTCTGTCAATTGCCTCAGCTTCCTTGTATGGAGATCCACTAATGACAGTAACTTTCAGCCCAAAGGCCTTACCAATTTTGATTGCAACATGGCCTAACCCACCTAGCCCTGCCACTCCCAAATGTTTGCCAGGTTCTGTCATCCCATAGTATTTCATAGGGCTATACACAGTTATTCCAGCACACAACAGTGGAGCACCAGCATCAAGGGGTAAGTTATCTGGAAATCGGAGCACATAACGCTGGTGAACAACCACACTGTTAGAATAACCACCTTGGGTTCGTGTTCCATCATAATAAGGGGAGTTATAAGTAAACACAGGGCGGGGACAGTAATTCTCCAAATCCTGTTGGCAACATTCACACTCCTTGCAAGACTCCACTATCACACCAACTCCCACTTTATCACCTTCTTTGAAATTTTTCACATTGTTTCCAACTTTTGTTACAACACCAACAATTTCGTGCCTGAAAAACACAAATACAAAAGTCAATGCAAGATATATTTAACAAACGAACATATCATCATTTAAAACCGCAAACACAAAACTACACTAGAGTCAGTTTAATTTTCTTCTCACGTTCTGATTCTCAAATATATTTATGTTTGTAATTATTTCCAAATGCTATAAAAACCAAAAAACATCTAGAAGACATCTTTCATTTCATCATCTTCAATCTCCATCTTTTTCAACCTTCTTTCAAAGCTACAAGCTGTTCAAACAACCTTATTTGATCATATTTTGAGAGAAGTTTAAAAATATAAATCAAGCACACCCTTAAGTTTTAGCAATCATTCTATGTGGTGTTAGGAATCAAGCACAAAAGAGAGCCTAATTCATTAATCCGTTTTTAAGTACCAGATCTAGTAATTCAATCCTATTCAGTATGGAGCTCTCCTACCATACTGCTTCCATAGTGTTCACACATGCCCTCGTTACTTTTTACACCAACCACACCTAATTTGTGTAGCACATGCCCCATGTATAGTGAGATAAATTTAATACAAATATAATATACACGCAGTCCATGCGTGGTGATGTAAAACACAACGTGCCCTTCGGTTAGGCGCTTCTTTTACTAAATCTTTGGTTTTTCCTATTAATTTATTTTCCCTTTTACGGATAATACACCCAAATCCAGATTAGTTATAAAGTCAATTAACAATTGAGATCGAAATTCGAAATCCCAACCCACCACTGAACTGTGTTCAAGGATCATGCAGAGCGTCAGCTTTTCTTTTATGTGTCCCATCACATTCAAACTCAATGGTGACAGATAAAATATTATATAATTTATTTTAATATAATCAAATCTATAGTTTACAAAACAGAAATTCAAAATAAAATAAAAAAAACATAAAAAAATGAAAACAAATTGCAGATGAAGGACGGGTACCCTGGAACGACAGGGTAAGTGGTGAAACCCCAGTCGTTTTTCACAGTGTGAAGATCAGAATGACAAACGCCGCAAAAGAGAATCTGGACAGTGACGTCATCATCACCGTTTTCCCTGCGAGAATCATGACAAATGAGGATGAATTTAGTCTCAACCAGCATTGATCTTGCTTAGAAATGGAATAAAATATTAACTAAATAAATAAAATTAAAAAATAAAAATTAAAAAAGGAACCTTCTGGAAAAATGAAAGGGAGAAAGGATGCCAGAAGTGTCAGTAGCAGCCCAACCCAAAGCTTTGTGGGGGTATTGAGTTTCTGGAGATTTTGACATGTCTTCTTCTTCTTCTTTTGTTTTCTTCTATTCTACTCTGAACTCTCTGGACCCTTTACCCAGTGATGTTACACTATGCTATGCAATGGCACAGTCTGTATATAAAGAAAAACAGTTGCTTTTTTAGGGAAAAAAAAACCTTTGAATTTATTATGTTAATTTATTTTATTGTATTTTTCAAATAGCAATTAATAATCCGATCAAGATAATAACTTCAAATTGAATATTGCAGTGAATGTAGTTGAAAGTCTACCGGCCATATATGCACATAAAATGTATCACCACCAAACCAGTGGCTCTTAATAAATATAATTTGTCAGTATCATTCTTATTTTAATAACTATGGAATAATATTAATTAATGAAGACATTAAACTATGTAAAATGTTGTACAACTACTAATTTTACATAAAATTAAATTTATCAATTCATTTATTAAATCATAACTCTATATAATCTATCTACATCAAATTTAATTAAAACTGAATAATAATAACAATAATAATAATAATAATAATAATAATAATAAATGATCAAATAATCTATATTTTAATATTTTTTAAATATGTAAATTTGTATTTCTATAAAAGAAAATTAAATATTTTTAAATTAATATAATATTTAGTTTAATTATGTAATATTTAGTTAGAGTTTAATTTCAACGTATTCATTTAAAAATAAAATATAATTTTTATTATTTTTTAAAACTTTTTGGCTCACATTCTCTTATAATTTAATAATTATATACAGAAATGTGTTATAATTATATCTAAATTAGCGTTACTTAAATAAACCCATTTACATTAATATTTATTGCAATGTTAAGATTATTAGATTGAGTGCTTAAATATTATAAATAGTATAAACTTTCCACATTAATATTTTTATAAAATATTATGTTCATCATTTATTTCTATATAAAGCATTAATTTGTAAAGTAATGTTGCTTATATAAATAATCTTGGATTGTGTTGATTATACAAGTTATTTCATATAATTTATTCCAACTAAAGCAGCATTACTTTATATTTTTATTGGGGATAATCTTGCATTTTTTTTTAAGATATTTCAATCATGTAATTTCAGTATTTTACTTTGAATTATATCACTTGTGTCTCTTAAATATCACAAATATGTGATTTTAACTTTCATATTATATTTGAATCAATTGGATTTCTTAAATATTACAACTGTGCAATTGTATCATTATATAATCAATAAATTTTAGATGTGAAAAAGATTTAAATTGTACAATTAAGATTTTCTATAAATTTAATTAACACGGGATCGGTGAGACTAACATGAAACATCTATTTAATGATGAATCTTTTTAGGAGCTAAGGAGTATCAATTCCCAAAATTTGTTTACTCTCGTATAATTTATGATTTTGGTCTTCTTAAACTTAATGATTATTTAATATATTTACTTATATATTTACAATTTTATTATCTCATCAATCATAATTTTCATATAATTTATATTTTGTCCCCTTAAATTTAATAATTATTTAATATATAATGTTATCCTTTCACTATTTCATCTTTTTTTACTTTTTTATATTTATTTATTAATATATTATTTGATTTTTTCAAAATCAATGGTGAAGATATGACAGTACATTTATTATTATCATTATTATATAATTTAAAAACTAATAATAAATTTTGCTCTATTTTTTATATTTTATTGTTTATGATACATATTGAGAGACACAGGACTTAAAACTATGTGTTTTATAAATATTGAATAAAAAATATTAATTGATTAATTAATTAAAAATTACAGTAACTTTTATCATGTTTGACTATATTAAAAATGTTTTTTTAAATAATAACAAAAAAAAGTTATAATCTAAAATGACATGTAAAATGTTTGCGTTAAGGTGTCTCCAAACGAAGTTTCAAATATTTGAAAAATAAATATTACCTTTATGTTAAATAAATATCAAAAACCAAAATTAACAATTTCATACTTAAAAGGGTAAAAATAAATAAATAAAATTGAAACAATAAAATAAGTTATATATTTGGACAGAATTAAAATATATTTAATGATTTTATTAATCGGATACGTAACAAGGTGCTTGGATTTGTTATACCTTCGAGACTCTAACCTTAAAAACTCGTCGATAATCTACAAACTCGGATAAAAATCTGCAACCGAACGTGGATAACGGAAAAGAAATATTAGCTCATAAAATACAAGATTATTATAAAAAAAAAAATAGAGTCAGAGAAAAAGAAACTTAAGTGATTCACCTCGAAAAAAGAAGTGACCTTTTAAGCAACCATCATTCTTAATAAAAATAATTAATTAAAATAATTTTTATCGATAATTTATGAATTAAAACACTAATTTTATTCATAAATAATTTTTTTTCGCTTTAAATCTCAATTTATCATCTTATAACATGATGTTGATGTTCGTATTTATAGGCTATTAACATTATTCCAGACTTAAAAATAGATAATGAAGCTTCAAATATGTAAGAAAGAAAGTGACAGCTGAAAGGTTCTAAACCGAAAACCTCGTCCCATTAATTCAATTTAATTAACAGTGTTGAATTTTAATTCTATATAAACAATTGTAATAAATTGTTAAAATACATGTTATAGTTTAAAGCAACCAAATACTAATAAATTGAAGAATAAGTTAAATAAATAAATTTACTTTCTTAAATATTCTCTCTAAATTTTAAATATAACTAAAAAATATATCATATATAAGGGACTTACAAATAAATAAATAAATATAATTAATCTATAATGATGTAAGTTTTAAAATACTTTTTAGGTTAAATAGGTAATTTAGTTTCTTTATTTTTTTAATGTTTTAATATGGTACTAATTTTTTTAAATTTTCAATTTAAACATAAATATTGAAATTGATGTCAATTTTGAACTATTATTATTTATGTTTTGACTCAGTTATATTAGATACTTAGTTGGAGTATCGGTTCGATGTGGATAAATGATTGGTTATAGTTACGAGGCAGATTTGTCATGTTACATTAAAATTGCAGAAAAAAAATAAGAGCCGCAAATGTGTTTAGGGTATGAACAATTTAGAGTTTGTGTAAATGAGTGAGGAAAAACATGAGGATATGCAATGTTCTGATCGACGATGGTCATTTATCACCGCTCCTCTCTCGTCACCGCCATTCTTTCGTCATTGTAATGGGTCATAGGTAGTCCCTCCCGCGTGCTCGACTTTGTTGTCGCCGCAGGTCCCCCTCTCTCGTTGATGGAAACAACTTGCTCCCTCGATGTTGTCATTGCAAACCCTAAATGAAAACAAATCCTCCTCTTTCGTCACAGTCAATCTCACACACAATGACGATTGGAACCCTAAACCCCTATTGTCCTCACAAATGGAACTCCTACCTTTCCTGTCATTGCAAATCCTCTCTCTTTCCCTCGCTCATTTGCACAAACTCTTAATTGTTCAAACCCTAAACACATCTTTCTTCCTACAATTTTAATGTGACGTGATAAATCTGTCATTTAACTTTAACTAGTTACCTAACCATATCAGAACTGATACTCGAATTAGACATTTAATATAACAGAGTCAAAAATACATAACAGTAGTCCAAAATTGATATCAATTTCAATATTTATGTCTAAATTGAAAATTTTAAAACTTTTAGGACCACGTTGAAACATTTTAATAAATAAAAGAATTAAATTACCTATTTAACCATACTTTTTTTTAATAGTGATTATATTAATCATGATATCAAATTCAATATAAATATTTAAAAGACACATTCTTAAATTGAGATTAGTGAAATTTAACAAGTGAACTGATTTTCTTTAATTGATGTTATATTAGCTATTTTAAATTTTATTTAAATATAAAAGTAATAATTTTTGGATTATTTTAATGATCTCCGACAAAAAATTAACGAATAGCACGTGTATGATTAATTGCATCAGGTTGGACGGGTAAGATAAGTCTTTTTCGTACTTCTAAAATAATTATTTACTTAAAAAATTGTTAGGATTTTTTATTAAAAAAATAGAAAACTCTTTTTTTTTTAAATATACATATTAAAAAATGCATAAAAAATAAATATGTTTATTTTGTTAAAATAAGGACTTTTTTTAATAAAAAAATAACACAGATAAATCCACCGATTATCTATGACATTTTCGTGAATTTTAATAATTAATATGTTTTAACATAAAACAACACAACTGAACAAATATTTGTATAACGATTCACAACAATATAAAAAAAAAAACTTTTTGTTCAAAGTATTTGTTATTTGTTTGATTTTTTATAGAATTGTATAAGAAATTTACGATTAGAACACTAAAAGGGTTTAAATTATGTTAATCTTTTTTTTTTTTTGCAAATTTTAAATATTATGATAAAATGATTCAATTATTTTATAATTACATTTAAAATAAATAACATATTTTGGAATCTTGTTTTTAGACAAAGATATTACCTCCATTTAAAAGAAAGCTTTTTTTATCCTTTTATTTTTGTTTCAAAATAGCAGACTTTAAACTTTCTTAAGGTAAAAATAGTTGAAAATCATGAGTATTTTATACTAAATTATATTAAATAAATATTTATTAATATATATAAAGAAATGTATAAAAATATCACATCACTATAAATATAATTAAATCATAATATATAAATAAACACAAATCCCACAAATTAATGCTATATAAGTTAATTCTAAGTTCTTATATAACACAAACCAACTTAATAATCTTGTTTCTGCTAATAAACATAATAATATCAATATATTATAATTTATATAATTTTAGAAAATAGTTAAGTAATTTATTCTAATAATTCATCCTATATTACCCACCAATTGACATATTAGACTAGATAAGACAATCTACTTTAAAATTATTTTGGAAAAGCCAAAATATATAACAATTTTTTCATTTTAATAAAATATTTATAAAAAAATTATATTTTATCTTTTTCATTTCTATATTACAATATATGGAAATTAATAAAATATTATATGA